ATTGCTGGCAGAGAGGATGTCCAACAAGTGCCTCAAAGGCGACTTGGGCTTGGACAGCCAGGCATGAAGTGCCTTCGCGGCTGCCCGCAGTTCGGCCTCCGTTGGAGTCCCAGCCACTTCGGCCGATTCCGTTCCTTTGGAACGCTTGGCTGCTCGGAAACTTCCGGTGTCCGGTTGTGTTTGGGAAGCCTTGCCCAGATTCAAGACCTGCACGTGAGGTTCGAGGGCCGTGATCTCTGTCATGACTTTTTGGTGGAGTTCCGGACGCATCAGCTGGGTCATGCTCTCGCCCTTGATTGCGGCAAAGGCAAGCTGCAGAGAAGCTGCCGTCCTACTGATTCCGGCACCTACGTGCCAAGCGTCCTGCTCTTGATCGGCGGCCAGGTGGCTGTGGTACATGGCGCGCTTATTGCCCTTCGCCGTGCAGGCCCACAAATCAGCCAAGCTCATCTTGTCCACGGCAGAAGTGCCATGTGGTTCCAGGAGCTGGGCCGCGACCTGGTCGTAGGGAAAGAGTTTAGTTCGGCGCTTTGCCGCGGCCACCTGCTGAGACTCCTCCTCGGCCTCCTGCTCGCCTGCAGCCTTCTCGAAGAGAGCCATCTTGGAATCAAAGTGCAAAAACAAGCTATATGCAAATGCTCGCGAGGTCAACAGGCTGCGGGCGGGATACATATCGAACACCGTGCAGCTCTAACTGGCATACTGCAACGAACTAGTATGTACCGGCAAGCATGGCCATCCGTCGACTCCTGCCAAGCACGCTCCAAAAGGTTTTTGTGCAGATGCTGCTGTGCAGTGCTGGATGACATTCTGTGCTGCGTTGCCAACAACGTATGCACGACATCAAATTCACCTATCTTGAAAGCAGGCAAACCAACTCAGGCTGAATCCGGGCTCCGCAATCCAAGACGAATCAACATTTGCGAAGCCTTGCCATCCTGTTACCTCACCAGCAACCCTAGGCAGAGTTGCGACGTCCGCGGTTTGCGGCGTCTCTCAGCGCGGCTCTGCGTCGTTCTTTGTAAAGGTCGCGGGCCTGCGATCCGAGCACGAGCTTGATTCGCACGAAGGCATGAAGGAGCGGTTTACCATGCAGCTGCTTCAGCAAGAACGTCAAGCGACGATAGGCATAAGGATGCCCGTGCAGCATCCGGATGGTCGAGCCGCTACACAAGTCGCACCTTCCGTCTGGCCCGGCATGGGCGGCCGTGCCTTCTTTGCCGAAGCAGCAAGGCAACTCGTTGGAGCCGATGCACAAACCATGTCCTTCATGGTCCCGCCACATGGCTTTCAGAAAAGCCGGAAGAGGTTTCGGAGTCTCCCCAGCGCCAGCATCCTCCTCCGATGAGATCTCGATAACCTCCTCGGCGTCCGGCTTGTTTGGACGGCTGGCCGCTGCCGGTTCGGTCTTCACAGTCTGATCCTCGTCCGAGCTGTCCACGACCATGTCGGCGTTGAGGGCGAACGGAAAAGCCATGCTTGGACACAAAAACCCTACCGAACTTTCTAGCCGAAAAGTAGGCTTGCATTTGCAGCACAACACTCGGTTTGCAACGCGCCGCATGTTGCAAGCGGAGTGAGTCTCGCAGACCCGCCTCATCATCGCCTCCTGTCGGAATCGCAGCCATCCCGACCTGGGCCAATCAACCCTAAAGCGTTCGGCTTCCCAGTTTCTTTCCACTGCTGGCTCAGCGCCTGGCACGTCCCTGTACTCGTTTCACTTGCAAGTGTCAGCATCCACAAGAAAACATGGCATGCAGCACGCGAAAGCAACCAAAAACAAACACTGCACGAAGCCCAGACTGGGCGTCTGGCAAGTTGCCTTGCTCAGATCACTTGCTTCATGCAATAGATCATTCTTGCCTTTGCAATGTGAAGCTAGAACCCTCCGAGACAGACGCTCGGGGAAGCCTGTGCTGAGTGTCTTGACTCACGTCACTTCCTTCGTGCACAACATCAAGCATAGTTAAGGCAGAGCAAAACTGCTGGCTCAGCGCCTGGCAAGTCACTTTGCTTCCCGAGCCGCTTCCCTTGTCTAGGTCTAGAATAAAAGTTTGCAGCATGCGAAAACAATCAGAGACAAATGCTACAACATGCCGAGTTCTCCAAGTCCATACTCTCAGGCAGTTTCCATCGAAAATGCATGCTTTCGCCAAAAAAAAGTCCGACATGCCTCCAGCGTATGACCTAGTCCGTTGAAGTGACTTTGCACGTCTTCGTTTCACGAACATCACAGAGATAACAGCATGATACCTCTAGCTCACGCGAATACAGAAGCACATCACCGACACCGCCCGCCTATACTTGGCTCGAGGCAAGAAGTACCCACCAAAAATCGAAAGAGGCTTAGACGCCATCGTTTCAATGGCTGTGTCTGCAGCCATCTCATGGCCTACGACCGGACAAAACTCGAAATCTCTAGTTCAATGTTGGCTCTTTCGTTCCTGAGCCTCACCTCGGCCCGGTGCCGAGGCAGGGTCCGCACCGTTAGGCAGCTCACGCGGACAGAGAAGCACATCACCGACACAGCCAATCACCACGCCCCTGCCAACCCAAGCCTCCGGCCGGAGCCAGGGCCTAGAGGCTCGGCGAGCGAAACCCGGCCTTCGAGAACATGCATCTGGGAGTTGCTTCCAACCTCGATGCCGCAAGTCTAGGCCGTCTCTATCTGCTCAAAAGCAAGGATAAACCAAAGCTTCGAGATGCGAGCTAGACGTGTCATCTTCCTACTTAGTTGAGCAAAATCAATACAAGATGGAGTCTAGTGTCGGGACAAAAGACTTCAAAACTTCCCATTCGAGAACATGCATTACATTTTCTCCGGCTTCGCTTTTCAACTTGCCCATGCTTCTAGCTCGCGCAGATAGAGAAGCACATCACCGACGCAATCACCATGCCTCTGGCACCGGTCTGGAGCCGCTTGGCAACACTCTCGCGTCCATTGAATCCATGAAGAAGATCACCGAAAACTGAAGGACTTTCAGACGCTATCGTCTTCGTGGCTCTCTGTTGTGCCATCTGATGGCCTACGACCGGA